ATAGCATATGCAGAAATGTCAGCAATGAATATGAAAGTATAAGCATATGAATTTTTAAGCATATATTTTAAGCATATAAGAACAAGCCTGCAGGAGAACTAAGTTTCTAAAGAGTAACAATATTAATAATAAACTCCCCTTTGAAACGTTTTTCTCCAACTAGAGTCTTAACAGATTTTCCTACGGATCTTAGGTTCCTACTCCTTGAAGCATGAGGATGAGGGCTGTGAACCTATGAAAAGACCCCAGAACCTGATATCCTCCAAAATGGTCTGGTTCAGTTGACAAAATTCCCAGGACATTTCCATTGTCCTGCCCCACTGAGTCTTGCTCTTCCATAACACCAACTCCAATCACGTATTCCCCCTGTGTTAAAAAAACACTGAACTCATCCTGTCATATACTGAATTTGAGAAAGATGATAGCCCTGAAGAGCTCTGATCCCTCATGCTGATTGCACTCATCCCACTGCCCCATGGAGAAGCATCCCAGGCTGGCACCTCCACTTGCAGGAACTCACATTAATCTCAGCATCAGAGAGACATCCCATTTAGCACTGCTACAAATTCCTCCCTTAGCTGGTTTTCATGCCATAGTTTTCCAAAGCTCTTTTTCATGCCAGCTGTAGTTCACACATAATTATTCAAGTAGGCAGTGGCACCACAGAGGCAACTGCAGAATATCTAGTAGGTAAAAGACATAGTTCAACCCTGCAGTTAAGGTCTGTGGTTTTATTTAATCATCCTTTACCATGAACACAACTTCCACAAATGGCAATTGCTTTTGTAATCCTGTCAGCGTGTCCTGAGGATGGACAAGGGAGGTGACAGCTACAGAAAAAAAGGAAGAAAAAGAAGAGAGAGTAGTGGGCAAGGAGAAAAATCTGTGGGCAAAAGAGATGATAATAGCTAACAGAACAAAAAACTGCTGGGAAGATAGTGTGATAGTGATAGATGGGATGGGATGGGATGGGATGGGATGGGATGGGATGGGATGGGATGGGGGTTTCCGCTGTGGGGACTACTTGATTAAAAAGAAGCATGGGGCAAAGCTACAGCCTGCAGAGACAGGGTGAGAGGTGGAGGCTCTAATAGATTGTCCAGACGCATTTCTTCACCTGAAAGGTGCTCCTGCGCCAGGCACTGACGAGGACCAGCAGGACAAGGAGGTGGCCTGCCGTGGCTATGTCAGCTTGATGAGGCGCTGATGAGGGCCAGCAGGTCAAGGAGATTCCCTGTCGTAGCTACGTCAGCTTGGTTGGCTAGGAGCAGCCCCCAGTCTGCTTGTGAGCTGCTAACCCCACACTACCACCGAGCTGACGTTGCAGGAACAGTTAACCCCACAGCTCAAAAGCAGTAAAGAAGTCAAATGCAGAAGCTGAGGAGAAGACTGCTAAGACACTGAATGTATTCACGGAAAGTCAAATGACCATGGCTTGATGTTCCAGCTGGAACTCGTTGGCCCCTGCAATAATGGATGTATTTGGGCAGCATCATCACAAGCTGAAAGATGGAGACCTAGAAGGGCCAAATAGATGCAGACAGTCTTGTTCCCTCCGGTCTCTGCTTTATATAGGGATACTCAGAGATATTCTACTGTATAAGCTCAGCAGGACCAAAGGAAGTAGCTGCTGAAAAAGCCCATACCCATTACAAGCAAAGCGACACCCAATCTCCTCATTGAACCCATCCATATACATTGGAGGAAGTTACTGGTGCCTCTGTTGTTTGCTCAGCTTTGTAGCTGCCTGCTGCTGTCCTCCTTCGCTGCCCCTTTCCAGTACTCCAACATCACCCAAGATAATGACATTTTAATCACGGCAAGACGTGTACAACAGCAAACCACCCAGGCACATGGAGATCAAATAGACCATCTGGAAAAAGGGAGAGAAAAGAGTGCATCTGACTGTTGGCTTATGTGTGGGCAAACCCTAACCCTGTCCTGATCGTGCAGAGGGGCAGCCAGACATGGACATGAGAAAGGCTGCTCAGGCGAGTCCCTTTGGCAGGTCGCTGGGCAGGGGTCTTCCAAAATAACCAAAACTGAAGGGTGTGTGTGTGAATGGTGGGTAGGGTATGTGCCTGCTTTCTTGCCATGACTTCAGAGCACATGAACGTGGTGAAAGGGATTTTTGGCTAACAACACACTTCTCCATGCCCCTTCTAGTCTACTCCCCAGCCATCCAGATCAAAGGGTCTCAGAACAATATTTGTCATCAGTAGAAGAGCACATAAGCTCTTCTACTGCCCCTTCTTTCAGGGACATTCACATCTATTTAGTGGGATCAATAAATACATAAACTGAATTATTGGCCTAAGCTCCTTTACAGATACAGAGTCAAATTCTCCTGAGTGCTGTCCCAGTGCAAATGCAGAAAAACTCCCACAAAATTTGCAAAGATAATCCAGATTTATTCTCTCTTTCCCCCCTTCTTTCAGAATACATGATACGGAATTTGAGTCTGGCTGTGAACTTGAATTCTATGAATCCTTTCTTACTTGTTGTACCTTAAGCCTAGAGGAATTTGGAAAGCAGAACTGTCTGAACTGTGACATCTATACATGCTTCTTAAGGATCAGAGCCAATACAAAGAGGAAGATATTTAACCTGTTGTCATATTTATATTGTTAAATTGTCAAATTTAACTTTAACAAATTGGTAACTTAATTGAATGTTCTGGGCGCTCTGTGTAATCACTTAAGATCTGATCTTACAAATATACAGACTCAGAGCCTGACAGGCTTTTAGGACCCCATTTCCATGTGTCCCAAAGGAATCTGGCCTCGACAGCCTTCAGGCCTGAAGTGCACATCCCCAACTTTAAGTTTCAGCACGCACCCACCGTTAGGCATATGATCTCACCTCCACAGGGCTCAGGCCTTGGACTTCATGCTTTCTGGCTCAGGGACATTCGCTCGCCCAAGCTGCTTAGCAAGCTTGACCTGACAGGCGTGCGGCGGAAGCGCCGCTACACTGCCGCGTCTCGCAGAGCATGGAAGAAGCCCTGGTTTTGGAGCAGGCTGCAATTGCGCTTTTCTGAAGCCTCCCAGAAGGACATGCTGTGCAGCACAGTCCCTGCAGGGCACGGGCACTCCTAGGCACAGAAGCAGCAGCTCTGCTTTCTTCTGGCCACTGCATAGTACTTTCATCCTGAGATGGTCCCCTGGGAAAGAAGTTGAGATGGGCTTCATGCAAAGCTAGTACCTGTCTGTGTATTTGATTTCATAAAAAAAAAAAAAAAAAAAAAAAAAAAAAACAGTTACCAACTACACAACTCTAGGTTGACTTCACATACGAATTTGCTTGTTTGACACATTAAGACAAAGGTGCACCTGGAAGGCCTTTCCAGTCCTCCCCAACACGGCAGCAGTCTCTCTTCCACACTGGCAGGGGTGGGAGGTGAAAGAACCTATTGCAGAGAGCAGAGGCGCATACGCACACCTTGTGTACATGCCCCTCACAAGAAGGAATAAAAGTGCATCATCTGGGTTTGCTTAGGTTTAGCGAAGGTCAGAGATTTTCGCACCTAGGTGAGCTGTCATCTGCCCCGGGGCAATTCTCTTTTCTCTCGCATCCTTTGCTAGAACAGCAGGAGTGCTTTGCTGGCGTGAAACACTGGACTGCCCTCAGGCTATAAAGGACTTGAGTCACAAACCACTTCACTCCTTTCCCCTCTCCTCCTCATTTCATATTAACTCAGGACTATTCAAAATTGTTCTAATATTCCCTCACCTGTTGGCTATGAAAATCTGCTGCAGGACGAGGGAGGTAACAAAACCTACAGCATTTGTTCTGATCAAAGTAACTCTGGACTGGTGTAGTCAAAACTTATACTTTTAAATACTGAGTTTCATTTGCAAAAACTTAAATGGAATTAAATAATCACTTAAGAACAACTGCATCATTAAGATGCAAAACCAACATATAAGTGAACGCAAAACAAAGATTAGAAAATAATCACACATTTAAGAAGCACAGCAATACTTGAGTGAATGGACAGCTTCAGGGTCAGAAATAAACTCCTGTCATTACAGCTCCTATCAGTACACTGAGCAACAAGGAGCTCTGCGTGTCCTGCCGTCCAAAGCAATGCTGAGCTTTCTGACTTGTTAAAGGGCCATGTAAATCAGAAACATGATTATTACTTTTGAACACAAGCTGCCTCTTTAATTTTTTTTTGCCCTTTATTAAAAATCTGGCCCTTTAATTGTTTAATCTTTTCTTTTTTTTTCTTTTCTTTTCTTTTTTTTTTTTTTTTTTTTTGTAAGTTCTTTCATTTTTCATTGCTTAAACCTCCCATGCATCAACTATTTTGGCTTTTAATGAAGGGATTTTTTTTTCTGCATCCAGCAAACAGTAAACCATGTCGCCTGGATACAGCCAAAGCCTAAATTCCACAGATTTCCACAAAGTCATACATTGTGTTGGAGGAAAGTGTGTTGGGCATTCTTTGATTTTTGTGCCCTGCATTAGCATTTGTAAGCACTTATAAAAGAGAGAGAGCAAAAGAAAGAGAGAAGGGGGAAAAGAGAGAGAAGAGAAAGAAAGTGAGAGAAAGGGGGAAAAAGAGAAGAGAGAGAAAGAAGAGAAAGAAGAGAAAGAAGAGAAAGAAGAGAAAGAAGAGAAAGAAGAGAAGAGAAGAGAAGAGAAGAGAAGAGAAGANAAGAGAAGAGAAGAGAAGAGAAGAGAAGAGAAGAGAAGAGAAGAGAAGAGAAGAGAAGAGAAGAGAAGAGAAGAGAAGAGAAGAGAAGAGAAGAGGAGGCTGTTGTGATGAACGCAAAATATGACCGTTTCTTCTAAAAAGTTTGTGCTGTCCCTGCCGTTTAGCACCAGCGCCGGGCTCCCTCTCCCCTCAAGGCGCTGCGGAGCTGTTAAGCATCTGGGGGTGATAATTTGACTTTGGGCTAAGCCGGAGGGCTGCAGCAGGCAGCAGTAGGTGGTGATGTAATAGGTACCAACGCACATGGATATATAAATATCGTGGCGAGGGCTGAAGCGCTATGGCTGAGCCGCTGGCCAAGAAGCCGGGCACTTCGGACAAGGCTCCCGCCGCGGGGATCAAGTTCAGGAGCCGCCGCTCCCGGGATTTGCTCTCCATGCAGCCCGCGCGGGGCAGCCGCGCACGGTGGGCGGCCTGAGCGCGGGGCTGCCCCGCTCGCCGAGCCCGCCGGGGGCCCTTTCCCCGCTCGCCCGCGGCAGCCGCGGGGCGAG